CTTAGTTCCTTTGGCAAGTATGCGAAACACCTTACGCTATAGGATGTGGCTAGTGGAGCATGGCGCAAGCTTAACTACCGAAATACCCGGTAGACCTGTCGGGTTTACGACGGCGCATATGTTGTTTTGCCCTGAGGTCCCCTCATGGACATTCTCTCCATCTTTCCGATACAACTCCATCTCATTCAAGCCCCTCGGAAGCCACATTTCCAAGTCTGCGTCTCTGGACGCATGCAAATGCGGTTGTTCGAAAGACGGCTGCCACTCTTACACCGTGATGTGGAGGGTGGCGCTGGGAGACTGGTCAGTTGACCAAATAACACAAGCGTCACTGAGACTGACGGGGGACCAAATCATGAAGCTATGCGAACATCTCGAAAAAGACTGGACGCTTTCGCGAGACGAGATGTCAATTCTTCTGCGAGTGTACACTTTCATGGCACTCCCAATTCGTCACACTTGCTGCTGCTCCTGGGAGCACAAGTTTGATCAAATGAGAGGTCATCATTTCGAGTGGGCATACAGTGATTGCGAAGAAGACGAGGTGGAACAAATTCGGGAAGAAGATAGTCATGAACTTGCGCTCCTGGAGAATTTACTTGTTGAGTTCGAAAGCAAGATCGATGACATGGGTTGTCCCCTGGCGACGTTCTTTCAAACATATTGGATCGACCGAATGGGGCAGGTTCTTCAAGAAATTCAAGAACGAACACTTCTTGAATAGGAGATTCAAGGCGCGGAAACATTGGGCATAACATTGAGAGTTGAAGAAGAGAACAAGGAGGAGGATGACACTAAGCTAGAACACTGGCTTCGCAAACTCGATGCTATAGTTGCCTAATATTCGAACACATCAAGAAAGCACTACATCATGGCCCTTTACTTCATGCCCAACTACGGCGCAGGCTCTGTACTCCGGGAGGTTGGTGGTATCTACGGGTGAAGTGTTGGAGCCGCTGCCATGTCTCTGTCCAATTTGAAAACATACCTATTAAGAATATAGTTAGCCTGCTTGTCCTTTTTAACGATGGAAATACTCTACTTCCTGGACTCCCACTTCGTGATGCATAATCTCCTAGTACGCATAATCTCACTGAAAACACCCAAGTACCGACATCGACTACGATCACGGTCACGGAAGTTCCGGATCCCCTTTTTTCCGACACCAGCACTAGCACCAGCTGACTAAGGTAGAGAAGGCGGTGGCAGTCTTCACGGGAAACTTTCCCGGTCCTAACCCAAACTGACGTGCATCATCTTGGTCTTTACAGACCTTGTCCCCTTGGGACCGGCGGAAGTCCTAACGCGGAGGCTTATCCGGATTGCTGCCATGCCATCTTGCAAGGAGAGGGAGATGTGGAGTCCGGATGCGGACAAGAGGGCATCGGCCCGAAACCTCAATACAGCGGCCTGCATCCGCAGATACGACCTGTATCTTTTCGGCTGGGTTCGGTGATTAATCCACCGGTAGATACAAGAGGTCCGTTTTTTGTCGGCCGCCTAGTCTGTGGGGGGTTCCCCGGGACACAGGCATAGAATACGATCGCCTTATTCGAATCCGACGATGGTGGTAGGATGTTGACGAAGAAGGCGTCTACGGCAGTCACGAGCAGAGATCTGGATTGACCCCTTCCGCGGCAGTATTTCTGCTTCTGGTACCACAGGGGATGTTCTAGGTGGTGACCATCGCCATCCCTGATCAGGGGAATGTGACAAAACCGGCAATCCATCCAAGGCAGCGAGATTGTCAGCTTGGAGCGTGGAGGCAGCGGCTCCTGGGACGGGATTAGAAGCGGGAGGATCTGGGAGGAAACTCCTCGTCGAGTATTCTACAGGGGCGCATTGATTCGATGCTGTTGACGAAGCCAAATTCGAATCATATTTTGCTTCCGCTGTCAATCATCGTGAGCTGGGGGCCATCACGATGGAGCTGTCGAACCGCATTGTCCGGCAGTTGGATGGGTGACTCAGGGTGGTGCATGTGTGATGGCGAAGGGATCAATCATTGTAAATGTGGCTTTTTTGCAGAGCATGATGTGATTTGGACTTCTGACATTAATCGCGTCTGATGGGGGGCCAAAAGGAGCAGATTGATTTGTCTGCTCGCATCACGACTCGCAGAGGTGGCTACCGTCTCTGGAGGCCGAGCAGGCAGCAGAATTACTGCGAGACCCAGATGATGTCTTTCCTGCGAGGGACTCGGGGGCGGTTTTGACTCAGAGTGCTGACGTGCTCACCGTCAGATGCCTCTATTCAGAGCTAAGGTAACCCAAAGTCCTTTTCTCGGCCCACGGGTAGAAGCTGGCTGCAATGTTCGGCGCCCCGGTATTGAAGGGAGCACCTCAAACGGCGGCAGAACAGAGATCTCTCCATCGTCAGGGGTGGTTATCAAGAGAACTTGGCAATCTTGAGACCAAAATTGCGCGATCCACAGTCCACTTGTCCCTGGTGACAGAGAGGGAGCTTTTGCAAATAAGTACCGGGAACCACTTTGACAGATTGAACCTTGCTTTGAAGCATGTCATGTCCATGGGACTCTTTTTCCTGAATGAAGAAACGAAGGCTGCCGGGAGCCGCGGTATGGTGGTGTAGGTGTGTCGGAGACGAAGTGGGTGGCTCCAGTCTGTTAGGTTTAGTGTTTAGGCACCGAGATAAAAAAGGACGCCAGTGAAGGTAGGCGTGGGGTGGTTACTAGGAGCACGACGCCATTTGGTCGTGCCCAAAGTGCCACAATAACTGGAGCTTTCTGCGACAGAGTCCGAGGGGACCACAGCTGTGGCTGGCTTTTGTTTTGGACTTTACGAGTGGTGCCTTAAGAGGAACTCCAAAGTCCCAAATGCAAAAGATCTGAAAGGATGGATTGCCATTAGTAGAGGGCAAAGAGCGGATCCAGACTGGGGAAGTTGAGTCGAATGGTGCTTACTGCATCATGGCGTAGGGGGAGGATTTGCACTGGGGGTGTTTTGGAAAAGGAACTTTGGAGTATTGTGGGATCTATGCCAAGATCTGGAGGAAGTTGCCAGTGTGGGCGGCCCGCAGACAGGCGGAACAGAGGCGGAAAGTGATGCCATTGACCAGCGCGGACATGGTCTCCGTGATTATGGATGTATGCACCGTACTTTGAAGCGAGCAGACGGTCCGCTGTTGCTATGCCGAATGAGATGGAGTCTCAAGCCAGGGTATCGACGCTAGAGAGAGCCTCAGCTTACTCAGGGACGATGACTGCTGGAAGCCAATGTCGGGCACCGCGAATGTGGGTGGGTATCTGGGGGTTCACGAAGATGGGCGTGCTGATCTCGTATCAGACACGACCGTGGTGGATGGTGCTGATATAAGAGAGAATGGTAATTGGGCAGAGCTGAGGGTGCATAATATCACTAGAATGGAAAAACATGAGCTGAACTGATGGCGTCGTGTAGATGGGAATCTGGGAAGCTGAGTGGCATTCATGATTTGACTGCCCAGACGGTGGCTGTTGGCTAGCCGGGATAGAGGAAGGCATCAAGCAAGGCACGTGAGGGATGCAGGGTCTACCTGCCTACCTAAGTAGGTATCCGTACCTGTATCCGTACCTGTATCCATAATGGAAAGAAGGAGCCTGCTGGAGGCGATAACGACCAAGACGAATTCAGCAAGACCAGGTTCACTTTTTGATGAGAAATGAGGCAAGAGACGCTCCTCAGTGCCTGCCAACAACACGATGAGTGAGGTCTCCAAAGACTCCAAAGGGAAAGCACTGGCCACGGGCAACCCGGGCGAACATGGCGACATCCCAGAGTGGTTGACCCGAGGGACCCACCCTCCAGGCTCCAGAATTACCACAAGCCAATCAGCACCTTGTTTTGGAGCTAGCGGCAGGAAATATGCGGGTCGGGACCGAAACCAGAGCATTTGGCGAGGCTAAGCGAGTCCAATCGAGAGGCGTCCCTCCCCAGACAGCGGCAGCGCATCCACGCCTCCTAGTGTCTGTCTTCCAGGCAGCAGCATTTCAGCACTGCACTGCACCACTGCACCTCGAAAGACTCGGATTGACACTCGCTCAACACCTCGCTCGCTCGCATTCTGCGGACACCATCGAAGCCATAATCTGCCACTTGGGCCGCCTGGCCTTCCTTCTCGTCCCTGTCGGTGCATTCTGGCGGCGGAGCCGTCTCTAGTCCTTACCCTGTGCTCCCTAAGTGGTGTACTAGTGTACCTTACTGGAGCACCCAAGTCAGTCACTCCCTGGCCCTTGGATCTTGGACCTGCAACCTGCGGCTCTCAGCCCGCGTGGGAAAAGGGTAAAAGACCATCCGTCTCGTAGGCACCGAAATAATCTGATTCCTTCTTAGCTACCGCTGCGACGGCACCCGGAGACCTGGAGACGCCTGGTGCCTGCCTTGCTTGTTGGCTCCCGTCATTCATCACCTCCTAGGGTCCCGCGACTTCAACTTCGACACCACCACCACCTCTTCTTCATTTCTCTTCTCTCACATCCTCCATGGACTTGGATCATTTTCTATTTACGACGGACTTGACGAGACGAAAGAGAGCTTCAAAAAGATAATTCCAATAATCACTTTACACACGCGCCGGTTATTTTAGGTCGTTGCAATAGTCGCAGCTCAGCCTCGCCCGAATCGCATCCCCGCCGCGTAATCACTTTACGCGCAAAATACGTACCCCTCGGTCGCAGCAGCAGTTCTTCAGTCACAGTTGCAGTCACACTCTCAGTCGCCAACCAACAAAAGTAACCCCGCCGCGCGCGACTCAGCCGACCCGCATCCGACTCTTCACACCGTCCCGATCCCCGACCTCGACGTCTCATCATCACCAAGGCCACTTCAGCCTCACCATCAATTGTGGCATCGATCTGATTATGTCATATCCGAGGCGGCACTGAAGAGGCATATTCAACTCACCTAGCAGACTCTCACCTAACTCACTCACTCCTCATCGACGCAAGTCTCACGTGAGGGGCATCCCTCTTTGCTGCCCGTCATCCCGTTTCAACAGCCATCATGGAGGGCATCGGTTTCCAGGGCGGCTTCCAGCAGCCTATGCAGCGGCGCCTCAGCCGTCTGTATAACGACACAAAAAAGTCCTCTGACTTCGTCAAGGAGCCCATCCAGCATGCCGAGGACCCCGAGGTCAAGATCCTCTTCCGCAGGCTGCGCATCCAAAAAGACCGCTTCGTGAGCTGGGGCTTGGAATGGTCAGATCCGAACCAGTCTTCCGAGATCGACACCTCGCTTTCAAAGGCTGGCATCAGCGAAATCGTCCACAGCGTCATGTCCACTGTCGGCGAGAGCTTGGCCGAGCTGGATGCTTTGTGGAAGGCCTACAACAAGCAGACAGGCGGTGCTTCTGAAAAGTCAAGGGGTGATTTCAAGACCCCCTTTGTAGTCTGGGACAAGGCTCGCTTTGCCGAGGCCATCACAGAACTCACTCAGTCCATCGACACTCTGTGCGATCTTTCTAGAACCCGCGCCTCTGCGGTAATGACTTCCGGCTCTCGCTCAAGGCTCCAACGGCCCCTGGCGGCCATCGACGAGAACAAGCAATTCGAGTCGACACGCATCCAGACACCGCAGCAGATTGACCCTTCGACATTGCAGGACATCCGCTCTTCACAGGCTGAGCCTATGACCGAGTCTAGAGCAAATCAGCCACCGCGAGATATCGTCTTCATGACCAAGCAAGCCTGGTCAGATCTGGCCCAGCACATTGGCCGTCAACCATTCGCGCCGTTACTACTAGAGTACGCCGCTTTCGACTCCATCTACTCAGTCACGGGAATCATGCCTCCAATGTCGCGGTTTGAGAAGCTGTCATCGGGTTTGCAGCAGGAATCTCAGAGAGCACCCGGCGCCTGGATTGGTCTGCCGAGGTTGCTTGGCTACTTTGAGGACTTGGAGCACTCACGGCTTGGACTCGTCTACCACTTCCCCCCGGGCTTCAACGCCGTCTCATTTGAAAACTTTACACAGACACCCCTTTACAACATCTGCACGCTGGGCGATCTTCTTTCACGCCCTGGATTTGAGCCCACATTGGAGGCCAAGTTCCGCCTCGCTCACAACCTAGCCAACACCGTGTTCGATTTACACGCCCGCGGCATCACTCACGGCAGCCTTATTGACAAGAATGTCTCCTTTTGCAACACGGCAACGCCCGACTTGACGACAGGCGTTGGCGAGGTAGATGTACGCCGTCCCATGATCTCGTCTTTTGATCTATTCCCCGATGCGCCCCCGGACCAAGAACCATCATCGCCATCTGCTCCTCTTTTCCGTCATCCCCTCGACCCCAGGACTACTCCCGCATCCCCAATCAATGACAAGACCGACTCCCGCATTCTCGACCTGTACTCTCTCGCCATGATCTTGTTGTCGGTCGGTTTGTGGACAAAGCTCGAGAATCTTGTACCCGACCCGTCTCAACCCATTCCAGAGAGAGTCTTGGAGCAGCTTGCCATTCGCTGTGGAACTCAGTACATGAAGGCCGTCCAGACGTGCTGGGGTGCAGTTGACCAGGAACTCCAAGGAAAGGTCACTGGCGAGGAACTACTCTCCATCGTGCAGTTCAAGGCGAGCCGCTACCTCGAGGCATGCTGCATCCTCGATAGCGTCAGCGCTCTCGACGACCGTCTCAGCTTAGATCTTGGCGAAAAGATTGTGTCTCCCATCTCCGACTCCCCGAGACAAAGCATCTCCGGCCCATCCAAGGACACCAAGACCGTTCCCCCACCAGCTGAGATGCGCCGCCCATCTGACGTCAAGGCCCCGATTCCCGACCCGAGCCCCGCGCGCTCGTACCCATCAGCCGAGGAAGAGAAGCGCAAGCTCGCAAAGAGAGACGCTGAGGAGGCGGCCGCGACACCGGCGCCCGCAGAGCTGCCGGCCGACTCCAAGCCTGCCAAGGCGCCCAAGACCCGACTGTACCCCCAGATTCCCTTGCCAGCTGACGCCATCGAGAAGTGGAACACTATTGTGATGCCCCAGGTCAACCAGGCGCTGCGCCACTTCTACCGCAAGCATAGTGAGGAGTCGGTCGAAATCTCACTCGAGTCCATCGGATGCTCGCCTAAGGAGACGCAACCGACAGTTCTGGTTGTGTGCACTTCGGTGAGCAAGGTTAAGTCTATTCTCACCCGCAAACTCGGCCAGCTCTTTGACGGAAAGTCCGGATTCGGCTTGAAGGTGTCTAAAGGACAGGTCCTGAGGTCGCGGAAGGAGTCGGATGAAGTGAAGCGAAGTGCCACCAACGACGACGACGAGGATGACGAGGTGAAAGCTGCCAACCCCGACTTTCAGGACCGTCCCACCAACGGCGCCAGCATCGGTGCTTGGGTCGGCGATCGCCACCTCCCACCCGTCAGCTTGGGCGGTCTCGTAGTTGTGGACGACAAGCCCTACGGAATGACGGTGCACCACATGCTGGATGATCCGGTGGAAATCGCAAAGCACGCCAAGGACCAGGACCCGACCCATCGAAGCATGGCGCGGCCCTCTGACGATGTTCGATTCGACTGGTACGGGGAGTCGTCCGCTGAAAGCAGCAGCGGCGAGGACTTCGCATGCGAATTCTCCGATTCTGAGTCGGAAGCGTATTCAGAGACGGACGCCACGAGCGAGGCCTCGGACGAGGAAGAAAGCGACGAGGAGGGGGAATTTGACCAGCCCGGCGACATCCCAGGCGTTGAGCCGGGCTGCGGCGACGGTTATGTCATTACGCAACCAGCTAGAGACGATGTCGACGACGATTTCTACGCCTCCGAGGAGACCGCGGACGAGGATCATCTCGACAGCTTTACGCTCGGGGAGGTCTACGCGTCCAGCGGCCTCCGACGCAGGGAGCAAAACGGGCTCATTCACGAGATCGACTGGGCTCTGTTCGAATTCAACGGCGACCGACAGCCTGACGAGAACACCATCCCGAGGATCAGAACGAAGCCGTCGTCACTCCTGACCGGGAAACGACCATCCCACGAAGCCCTCGACCTCCACCCTACAACGGTGGCGCCGACGTCGGCACTCCCCGGCATGGAGGTTCAGTGCATGGCGCGGACAAGCGGCCTCCAAACAGGCCTTATCCTGCCCGCCCTGACGAGCGTGAAGATCTCCGGCCGCATCACGCCGAGTCACACGTACCAAGTCAGCAGCGCAGCCTCCGCAACACCCGCGGAGCTCTCTGGCGGCAGCAAGAAGCTCGCCATGGGAGTGCCCGGAGACAGCGGTGCGTGGGTCGTCGAGCGCGCTCATGGGAGGGTGTGCGGACACGTGCTGGCGTGGAGCGGACGGAAACGTGTCGCGTACATATGCCCCATGGACGTCCTCCTTCTCGACATTGCCGAGACGCTCGAGGCGCGGACGGTCGGGCTGCCGGGTGGCGAAGCTGTTGTGAAGCTCCGCGACGACGGGGAGGAAGAGGAGGAAGATTATGGCGGCGACACGGAGGAACCCTCCTCGTCGCCTTTTTTAGACCCGAGGGATGATGATGACTTGGACGAAGTTGAGGACGATGACGACGACGCGCCGGTGTTGGTGAAGGCGCCTGGTGACAAGAAGGGCGGGAACAAAAAGCAAAAGGGGCAGCAGCAAGAGAAGGAGAAGGAGCAGCATGAGGGCGAAAAGTATGCTTCGGATGATAGTCATGAACTTTCAAGACGGATGGAGTCTATGGGCATCGGACGGAGTCGGAGTCGCGTTGGAATCGGCATGTGTAGCTGACTTGCGGGGCGCGTAGGTTTTTGATATACCCCCTTTTGTTTCGATTAGTAGCTGGGTAGCATAGCATAATGAAGCACATGATGAATCAATCTTTGCATCGCGCGTTTCTCCCACGGTAACAAAACATGCCGGCTTGATTGAATTCGGAAACAGGAATATCTACCCGCCGTGCTCACATGAAATCATCCTCCCAATCCTCGGAACGATTCTGGTTACTCGACCCCTCCATATTCTCCTCGGAGAAGATATCGTCATACGCATGGTCCTTCTGCCACTTCTTCTCCTTCCTCTCCTGCATCACCCGCGCCTCCTCCTTCTTCCTCACCAGACTCGCCGCCTGGTCGCGCTTCCGCAGCTCCTTGAGCCGATCCTCGCGCTCCTGCTGCAGATCGGGCTTCTTCTCGACCTTGGTCTTGTTGAGGCGGTTGACGACGGGGTTCTCGCGCTGCGCAACGAGGACGCGCTTCACCTTGCGCGGGTCCTTGAAGGAGACCTGCCCGACGGCCATGGATCCGTCCTTCTTGAGGTTCGACCACGGCGTGTAGATGATGGTGATGTTGTCCTTCTTGTTGCCCTCGATGGAGTTGGCCTTGGTCAGCTGCGCGAGGTCGGTGAGGAGGGGTTCTGGGATGGCGTCCCAGGTCATGGCGGGGGTGGTGGACGGGTGGGGGTCTGGGAGGCGGAGGTAGATGTGTGCGGAGGAGAGCTTGTCGACGTGGAACTGGTGGTGGTTAGATGAAGGTGAGAGGGAGGGGGGTGAGGTGTGGTGTGGGTTACCCTGGTGGTGGTTAGTGAGTGATGAGAGAGATGGGGGTGAGGGGGGAGTTACCAGACGTCCTCCTCCCAGCCGTACTTGATCAGCTCCTCATCTATACGCACGCGACTCTCATTAGTCTTTGTAACCGGCGATGTCGTGGGTGGCTAAGTTCACGCCGCGAAAAGGGGGACGGGCGTACTCTCAAACTTGTCCTTGCCGACGTAGATGAAGGCGGAGGGGTCGACGACCGTGGAGGTGAAGTAGTAGACCATCGTGGGCGGGCGCGACCGGACGGGAGGAGGAGAAGGGGAGAGACAAGAGACGGGCTTCGCTTCCTTGCGGCGGGCGGCGCTTGGCGGTGGTTGTGATGTTCGGTCTGTCACTGCGGGGATCTCGGTGGTTCGTCGTGATGTGGTTTTTTTTTTCCTGCGACGGGGAAATTTCGAGGTAGGGGTGGGGCGGAGGGATACCTTCTCGGTATCTGTCGAAGTGGAAATGGGCGGGAGACTTGGTGGCTGCTGTGGGGGAAGTGTTAGGGAGGAGGTACTACCGCGGAAGCCTCAGCCCATGTGAAGCACGGTGAGACGAAGGCTCAGTGAGGTTTGGTGTGAATGCTGCCTGGAAAGATGACATCTCACTCAACTTGACATATGATGAGAAGATTATTGAGTGTTTTCATTCAACAAACATTCAAAGCTCTATCTTCCCAGGTTTAATCTCACTTGTCTTATCTAAACACCCGCTACCGTCACTGTCAACTCACGGTCGCAGTTACAGCCTCTGGACTACAGAACTACAGAGCACTGCCAAGCGGCACAGCATGGGCCTGCACAGCCAAACTCTACCCGATTGATTGTCACCACCAACAGAAAACACTAGCACGACCCAAAAATGTTCGTCGCTGCCTCAAAAAAACGTCGTGATGAAATTTCTCATCAGCGTGATTCCACTCATTCATCCTCAACCCGCCATCGAGCGCCACCATTTCCCGCTCTGCCCACCGCTCGCCTACATGAAACCCAGTTTCAGCCACAGGAAACAAGCCTTGTTGGCTAAGTGGTATAGCGCCTCACTAGTAATGAGGAGATCGGGTGTTCGATTCACCCACGAGGCATCTCGAGCATCTTTGTCGGCCGACGATTTCTTTTTGCATTTTTTCTCTATTAAATATTTCTGCTTGTCTGTCTGGCTGTCCGGTCATTCTTCACGTTCTTTGTGCGTCTATTATCTATTACCATTAAGTAGCTCTCGCTCAGAACTTGGGAGCGTCGTAAATATCGTCAGGATCTGCCATCATTGTTAGCCATTATTCTTGATGCATGTGCAGGATGCGTTCTCACCTTTTCCATGCTCCTGGATGAACTCCCTCACCTCCCTCACCTTCGCCTCAATCTCCCCAATCGCACCGTCCAGCCTCGCCTTCACCTTCTCATTCACCTCAGCCCCGCCCTTCAACGCCCGGATGGCGACGTCATACCGGCTCACGCAGTTCACAAGCATCATGTCAAACGGCGTCGTCGTGCTGCCTTCCTCGCGGTACCCCTCGACCGTCATCCGATGCAAGCCCGGCCGCCCGAACAGCAAGCCCTGCAGCTCCGTCGGGTACCCGTGGTAGTTGAAGCACACGGCCCGGTCCTCAGTGAAGGTCTCCTGGAAGACCTGCCGCGTCAGCGCGTGCGGGTGCTTAGCCTCCGCCTTGAGGACCATGAGGTCCGTCACGTTGACTACGCGGACGCGGAGCTCCGGGGCGAGGGTGCGGAGGAGCTCGGCGGCCTTGACGACCTCGAAGGTGACCTCGACACCGACGCCGACGATGACCACGTCCGGGTTGGCGCCGCCGTCGGTGGAGGCGAAGGACCAGGTGCTGGCGCCGATACGGCAGTGCTCTGCGGCTGCGGAGGCGGAGAGGTAGGTTGCGGTGGGCTGCTTGGAGCCGATAACGAGGTTGACCTTGTCTTTGGATTGGAGGCAGTGATGGACTGTGCTGAGGAAGCAGTTTGCGTCGGGGGGGAGGTACACCTGACCATGTTAGTGGCGTTCTTCAGAGAGACAGTAGATTGGGGACCTACTCTTGCCGCCTCGGCCTTGAGGTTGAGAACCGCGCCGATGAAGGATGGGTTTTGGTGGGAGAAGCCGTTGTGCTCCTGTCGAGCCCAGGTGCTTGTCTCAATGTAGTTGATGGAGGCCAGCTCGCCGCGCCATTTGACCTGCTTGGCCACCTTGTTAAACTTGGCATACTGCACCATCATCGTGTGCACGATACCCAAGAAAGACTCGTAGCTGGGGAAGAGACCGACACGGCCGGTCAGCGTGTATCCCTGCATGTATCCCTGACAGCAGTGCTCCGAGAGGATCTCAATGACACGGCCACCCTGGGCCCGGGAGTACTCGTCCCATTGGAAGTTGCGGCCGGTGTGGTCGAGGATGGCATCAAGCTTGTTGCTCTCGAGCTCGTCAGGAGAGAACATGCGGAAGCCTTTGGGGTTGGCCTGCATCACCTCGTCGAGAAGCTTTCCGGTCACCTTCATGCAGCTGGTCTGCTCACCAGGCTCGACTGCAAGGGGTTGCCAGTCAGGGACCTCGAGGCCGATGTACGGGTCATATGTGGCCTTCAGCTGACCGAGCTTCTTGCTGTCATTCCTGGGAATGGCTTCAAGAATACTGGTGTTTGGTTTGCCGTCGGTTAGAAGATTGCCGATGTCGTAGCGCGAGAGCCATTCATCGAGCTTCTCAAGGTGAGTCTTGTCTGAACCCGCCTTGGCCAGTGGGACCTGGTGAGACTTGAAAGAGCCCTCAATAATGACCCCGTCAACTTCTTTCGGCCCAGACCATCCCTGAAAAAGTCAGCCGAGTTTCCTCGCAGGTCAGGTGAGGTTTACCTTGGGAGTGCGCAGCGCGATCATGGGCCACCGGGGCTTGACGATGGGCTGACCCGATCGTGCGGCCTTTTGGATCTTCTTGATCTCCGTAACAGCCCACTCTAAGGCGCCGGAAAGATCTGTGTCGATATCTTCAAGATCGTCGACGATGCAGACCTGATAGCCATAGCCGGTAAACAAGGCGACGATTTCCTTGTCGTCCATGCAGCCGAAGATGGTACGCTCGCTGATCTTGAAGCCATTGATATGAAGGATGGGAATGACAGCACCAGACTCCTTGGGGTCGAGATACTTGATGGCATGCCAGGCACTGTGGTCCGTCAGAAGAGCTCAAAACATGAGGCTATACGACTTACGTTGCAGTAGGACCGCTCTCGGCTTCACCATCTCCAACAATGCAGGTGACGATGAGATCCGGGTTGTCAAACACCGCACCAAAAGAGACAGCTAGGGCATAGCCGAGCTCGCCGCCCTCGTGAATGGCACCTGGAGTCTCGGAGTTGATGTGGCTGGTCGTATTAGTGTGTGGAACTGACCACTGTGAGACTCGGAACTTACCTGGGGAAGCCACCAGGCACCGAGAACTTGGTGATGAGGTTGTGTAGACCCTCCTTGGTAAGACTGTACTTGTCCGGGTAGAATCTCCCCAGTGAGCCCTCCAACCAGAGGGATGCCAAAGCAGCAGGAGCACCGTGGCCCGGGCCAATTACATAGATCATGTCCATATCATGGTTGCGGATGAGAAGGTTGAGGTGGGACCACACCAGAATGAGACCGGGACAAGTACCCCAGTGACCTGCGCCGTCAGCTATCGCTCGGCCGACTCCACGGTGGACTTACCCAGCAGTCGGGGTTTGATATGATCAGGCTTCAGTTGAGACTCCAGGAGCACGTTGTCTCGGAGAAAGATCATCGCTGTTCGCTGTCAGCCGGGGTTCGGGAAGATGGGTAGATCTGCAGGGGCAGGGTGGGATCGGCTTACCAGCAGCGATGTAGCAGGCTGCATTTTGGAAGTCGCGCAGAGACTTGGCGACTTTGGCGTCCAAAGGCTTCTTTTCGGTCTTTACGGCGAGCTCAAGCACACTATCGGGGAGGTGAGAGGGCAGAGCAGGCGGGTTGGGCTGCTTGATGACTTCGCCAGGCATGTTGGCGTTGGGATGCCGCTGCGAGCGGGCGGTCAGACTGTGGAAAATGTCTTGAGGCAATGAGGCAAGGAGGTTCCCTGCTTATTCGCTCGTGGACTGCGTTTGCGTCTGATGTTCGAATCAGTGCAGGGTGTCAATGTGGTTGGTGGTGGAGTGCAGTGCCGGGATGAAGGAGCAGCAAGATGCAACGTTGATGTTATGTGGGTGCCAAGTGGAAATGATATCTGGAAACCAAGCTGGCGATGAATATGGCACTCTCAGCGATAGATTGGGAATTGAAAGGCCTTGGATGGAGCTTTGCTGTGCCGATTGAAGCGGATAGTGGGAACAGGTTGGGAAGATGAGCGAGTCGATGACGTCGATGCTCATCTAAACTGAAGCTGCACAACGCCAAAGTGGGAACTGCGGGAAGGTGCGGCACTGCGGATACTAGGGAGGCGCGACTGCTTTCAAATGGCAATTGATTTCTTCGGATTGATCATATAATTCAGCAGATTTTTCTTTGAATACCGGTTGAAATTTAGACAACCTAGAGCAATTTTCAGAATTGCGTCGAATTTAGTCATTCCCATGTTAAGCTGCTAGATGGGCATCGCTGCAATGTTCCATGGCGGGTGACGGTCCGCTGCAACGGCATTGGCGGGCGAATGCCGCACTTTGGAGCAACTGGAGGTAGTGTCCCGAGGAGATGGGCCGTTCAGAGCCAGAACGAGCGGCCCGAAGGCGTGGCATCGTGATGATTACCGGCCCATGATCTCACTCTTTCATGGGTGCTGGATTCATCGTCGAATGGGGCTCGAGCAATTCGTAAAAATGCAGCAGCGGGGAACGGAAGCTTGGGCCACGTGCTGCGGGGCAGTTCATTGAGGGGGGCAATCAATCGCCAATCAATCGTGACAGATCGGTACGTTCCTTTTCTTCCGTCATTCCCGTTCCGTCAGAGACCCGCTGTATTCCCGAGACAGGGATACGTGCATTGGCCAGCTCTTGAGAGCAGAGCCTCTTGCTGCTCCACCAGATCCACCGTCCGGACCTGAGCTCCGCTCGCAGGGCGGAAAACGGTGGCCAAAACGGTGCAGCGGAGCTTTTTCTACGCCTGAGCCACACGCATCCACCATCGCGAAGCTCTGACATCAACATGGCGAAATCACGATGAAGCTGCCCTTTTTTGATCTCAACCGCCCCAGTGCCTCCCAACTCTGCTTTTCTGTGCTTCCCCGGTCCAAATGCCGTGGCACATGGGTAGGGGTCCCGCCAATGGAGCAGGCACGGCCCCTCCAAATTGGGGAGCTGTCGCTGCCCTTGCCTCACCGTGAGCACACAGTTGACGTCAGGCTTGTTGAAACGCTCGAGCTGCAAGTACGCAGACATGGGTGAGCTGAACGGCCCAATGGCAAGACTTGTTTTGTAAAGCACTGTGGTCGTTGTGGTACTACTTGAACCCGTCTCCTTCTTCTCTTAGGATTCTTTCGTCTCTCTCATTCTACTCTGGTTTTTCCTAGTGCACCAGAAATGGCATCAATTGTATCAGATACCCTGAAGAAGGCCGAGAACGCAATCATGGGCGACGCAAAGCAGGCTCAGCTCGCTGAGAACACGGTCGAGCATGGCCCCAAGGCACAGATGACCACCGACTTTGGCGCCAAGGTCAACAACACCGACGACTGGTTGAGAGTCACCACCAACGACAAGACCGGTCCTATGCTCCTCGAAGACCCCATTGCTAGGGAAAAGGTCAGACATGATGTCCAACGCAGGTTGAACGTAGCTAACAAGCGTCCAGATCCACCGCTTCGACCACGAGAGAATCCCTGAGCGAGTCGTCCACGCCAGAGGTGCCGGCGCCTTTGGCACCTTCCGTCTCTTTGAGAGCGCTGGCGATGTGACGAATGCCGGCGTGCTTACCGACACGTCACGGGAGACACCTGTGTTCCTCCGATTTTCCACCGTCCTTGGTAGCCGTGGCAGCGCCGACACCGTCCGAGATGTGCGAGGCTTCGCGATCAAGTTCTACACCAAGGAGGGCAACTGGGATATGGTCGGCAACAACATCCCCGTCTTCTTCATCCAAGACGCGATGAAGTTTCCGGACGTCATCCACGCAGGCAAGCCCGAGCCACAGCTCGAGTTCCCCCAGGCCCAGTCTGCCCACGACAACTTCTGGGACTTCCAGTACCTACACACCGAGGCCACGCACATGTTCATGTGGGCCATGTCTGACCGCACCATTCCCCGATCGTACCGCATGATGCAGGGCTTCGGCGTCAACACCTACACCCTCACCAACGACAAGGGTGAGCGTCACTTTGTCAAGTTCCACTTCACACCCGAACTTGGTGTCCACTCTCTCGTTTGGGACGAGGCTCTCAAGCTGGCTGGACAGGACCCCGATTTCCACCGCAAGGATCTGGCTGAAGCCATTGAGAACGGCGCGTTCCCCAAGTGGAAGTTTGGTATCCAGGTTCTGCCCGAGTCCAAGGAACACGATTTTGACTTTGACATCCTCGACGCCACCAAGGTCTGGCCTGAGGAGCTCGTTCCGATCCGCTACATTGGAGAATTGGAGCTCAACCGCAACCCCGACGAGTACTTCACCCAGACCGAGCAGGTCGCTTTCTGCACCAGCCACGTCGTCCCCGGCATCGGGTTCTCCGACGACCCTCTCCTCCAGGGCCGCAACTTTTCTTACTTTGATACCCAAATTTCACGCCTCGGCATCAACTGGGAGGAGCTTCCCATCAACAAGCCCGTATGCCCCGTCATGAACATGAACCGTGATGGTGCCATGCGCCACACCATTTCCAAGGGCCCCAACTACTGGCCCAACCGCTTCGAGGCCACGCCACCCGCAAACCACTCCAAGGCTGCCAACGCCTACGTCGAGTTTGCCCAGAAGGTAGAAGGCATGAAGCAGAGGACGAAGAGTGCCAAGTTCAAGGAGCACTTCTCACAAGCTCAGCTGTTCTTCAACAGTCTGTCGCCGATTGAGAAGTCGCACGTCATCAACGCTTTCGCGTTCGAGCTGGACCACTGCGAAGACCCCATCGTCTACGAGCGCATGTCCCAGCGCCTTGCCGACATCGACCTCGGTCTGGCGCAAGCTGTAGCCGACATGGTTGGTGGTAAGGCCCCCGAGCAGGCCGGCAAGCAGAACCACGGGAAGAAGGCCAAGGGTCTCAGCCAGTTGGAATATCTGCCCGAGAACCCCACCATCAAGACCCGCCGCGTGGCCATCATCATCGCCGATGGCTACGACCCGCTCGCCTTCTCAACCATGAAGTCTGCGGTAGCCGCCGCGCAGGGCGTCCCCATGGTCATCGGCACCCGCCGCTCCGAGATCTACCCTGCTGGTGCCTCCAAGACGCCTGGGCAGGGTGTCAAGCCCGACCACCATCTTGAAGGTTTCAGATCTACCATGGTCGATGCTATTTTCGTCCCTGGTGGAGAAGACTCGATCAAGACTCTGTCCAAGAACGGCCGCGCCCAGCACTGGATCCGCGAGGCCTTTGGCCACCTCAAGGCCATTGCGGCCACAGGCGAGGCTGTCGACTTTGTCAACGCCACCATCAACGTTGCCAGCATTGCTGTTTCGAGCGACAGCAACGTTGAGGAAAGCTACGGTGTCGTTACCATGAAGAACATCCAACCTGAGAGCTTCAAGGATGTGTTCACCATTGCCAAGAACAGCCAGGGATTCCTTGAGCAGTTCTTCTTTGTCATCTCTCAGCATCGTGTGTGGGCTCGCGAGTTGGATGAGTTGAGCACCCAAGTGGCATATTAATGGAAAGATGAAGAGTGAGATCAGGCGTTCACTGGGGTAGGGTTTAGCGTATGTACTCAATATTTAATTGATCTTGATATGAAATTTGTCTTCAAGTAGCTGTTTGTGAGTTGCACAACAGGTCTATCAGTGGCCTTCGACATTTGATTACCATGTTACAGCCTTTCAGGAACTTTGCCCCGGTCCGTCCTCCTCTCTTGATGTAAATAATGGGATTTTACGTCTTGTAACGTCTACGCCCTAGGGTAAGTAGCCTCACCGGATCGTACTCACCCATAACATTACCTTTTTTCTCATCGCCACTTAATCCTCCCTCTTGGACCTCGAAGACAGGAAGAACCAACACCCAACCATAGCCGCAAAAAGCGCCAGTGCAATCGGATGCAACACCCATGTCCCGCTCGCCTGGGCAATCATACCCGTCGTAAACGGCGCCAGCGCGCCTCCACTACTTCCAAACGCCGTGATAATCGCAATTCCGCTCGTCCGACTCCTGCTCGGCATGCCACGCAGAAACACCGTCGCCGCGCAGGGATAGATCGGGCCCAGCAGCAATCCCACGATCGCGAGACTCACAGCATTACCCACGATATTCGGCACGAACCACACGAGCAGCTGGAAGCAGGCCGCGCCGAGCGTCATGACGTAGACGAAGCGCTTCTCGCCGACCTTCTGGCCGAGGCCCGAGAGGAGGAAGCGGCCGACGGTGATGCCGGCCCAGAAGCCCGCCGTGACGTAGCCGACGGCCTGCGGGTTCGCGACGTCGCGCACGTCGACGAGGAAGGAGATGACCCAGCCCGAGATGGAGACCTCGGCGCCCTGGTAGGCGAAGACGAAGAGGGCGCCGAGGAAGACGAGGCGTGCGCGCAGGGCGTGGAACATGCTTGCCAACCGGGCCTTGACGCTCTGCTGCTGCTGCTGGGGGTCGTGCTGCTGCTCGCCTTCTGGGTTGTCGGTCTCGTAGCTGGCGAAGGACCACGCGGAGAAGAGCAGGCTGAAGGCCGCGAGGCCCATGGGGATGAGGTAGAAGCGGAACCAGAGGTGCCATCCGATGGAGGAGACCATGGCGGTGGCGAGGACGGGGCCGACGGTGCCGCCGAGGCCGTAGGCGCCGTGGAGGGCACCGAGGGCGGTGGTGCCGTTGCGGAGGGAGCCGCAGAAGAGGGTGTTGAGGGTGAGGTTTGTGGCCATGCCGAAGCCGAGGAGGAAGAAAGAGAGGACGATGACGGGGAAGGGGGCGCCGGTGACGAGGGGGATGTAGGCGGCGAGGAGGCAGGTTTGAGCGGCGATCATGAGGTGGGCGCGGGAGAGGCGGGCGCGCAGGGCGTCGACGAAGAAGGCGGCGGTGATGAAGCCGAGGGCGTTGCCGACGAAGATGAGGGAGACGACGGCGTAGCCTATGTTGTAGTATCTGGGTAGGGCGTAAAGGTGAGTCGCGGTTGCGAGGGGAGGAGTGATCACGGTGGTGAGATACAGGGGAATGGGGGATGGGATGGGACGTACTTCTCCATGTAGGGGATGAGAGCACCCGGCGCGCCGTCGTTGATGCCGTTGCCCATGTTCATGAGGCACGCCGCGAGGAAGCGCCAGCGGTTCATGTACGGGGACAGCACGCTCTGCGCGGGCTCGGCGGACTCGGCGCCGGCTTCGTCGCGGGCGAAGGCTTCGTGCTCTGCGGTGCGGTTGGACTCCAGGGCTGCGGGGTGCGAGGTGGGGGTGTGTTTCGGGAGCTGGTGCATGTGGATTGACTCCGGGCGGCTCCGGTGAGAGTCGACGTGGAGGAGAGGCGCGCCGCCGGCACCGGCGACCTTGGCTGGCGGCGTTATGTGGATGTGGGATTGTTCATGGGTGATGAACGCGTCGAAGGTTGAGGTGTTCATCTTGGATGACCTGCGGGGTTGCGGTGCTAAGAGCGCCGCGAGGATATGTGAGTCTTGAGCTGGAGTTGTTGGAGTTATGAGGTTGTCAAATTGGCCGGAGAAAAAAAGATTATGTCGGGTCCCCGAGTCCGGAGACGATAAGTGTGGGGCCGGCCAATTTCAACCGCGGTGAGATTAGATTGCCCATGCCGAATCGGGAAGGTCCATACTGGGGTTCCGCTTGGATAACGGGAATTTAGAGAGGGCGTACAACACGCCGGGAACTCATCAGGATAGAGTTCTGGGTGAACGTTTAGACTTATCTTTAGAGGCTTGCATTGTTCCATGTTATATTGTTCCTCATCACAGCTACTGGGTTCGCAGTCCAAGAGACGTCGACGCGAGTACGTGCCCGAGTAGATTGAGTCAATTGCAGTGCCTAAGCACATCTACAAGAAATTAAGTGGTTCAGCAATCGCCTATGGAAACATCCATCAATACCCCGAAGTCGTAAATGAAGGTCGTTCAGCCATGCGAGTTCGGCATTAGATGAACGAGGCTCTGCTTACATCACCATCTGCCGAGCCCGTCGCGGCACCCGAGCCGACTTGGTATCCCTCCCCAGTTCTCCAGACTTGGCAATCCAGTCACATTGCCGTCCTCTGCAAGTAAATGATCGACAACACGCATGTAAAGCACATGCATGCTTCCACAACAAATGCCGCTGTGCTTCGGACTTCGCATCCCATTTCAACTCCCGCTCGCATCCATTGCAGTTCCATATGAACTTCATTGGTGGGACTCACATCTTGAATCAGGGGTATCGACAGTTGACGAGGATGCATGGATGATCGGGCAGGAATTCTGCGCCAACGAGTGCCGGTTCCTGGAGATGCTCATTACTGCAGGGAGAAGGTCAGATGTTGACCAAGACTTATTTTTATTGTGTTGAGTATTTCCACGACTTACATATCCATGGGAACAATACCCACAGCCTTGGCTGATGGTATCTTAAGAATGGACTTGACTTGATTGTCAGGCATTGCAAGCGTTCCAATGAGGATGCAATGTGATTCCGAATTTTGAGAGACTCATATTTCTATCGACTAGTATATATCCCTATCCTTTGACCTGTTGATGGTTCAGATCATCAGGAGCCACCAAGCAAATTAAGCAATCACCACCCACCTTATCTGATCCCTACCTGTCAAAATGTTCACCAACATCGTCGTCGCTGCCATTCTGGGTGCTCTACCCACTACCTTTGCCTGCCTGGGCTACGAGGGTGGGCTTCCTACCCCGACCGAGAACAGACAGATCTCTGCGCCGATCTACGTCAAGTCAGGCGAAGTCTTCGACGGAGGGTGGGCCAAGTATGATCGGAACCCCACCTCTTGCAGAGAGCAAGAGGAAGGAGGTACGAGTCCTGTTGAATTTCATCTCAATTGATTCAGCCAGGCTGATGAAGGCATGAACAGGCGAGTCCGACACAGCTTTTGTACTCGAGAAGGGCGCCACTTTGAGAAACGTCATTATCGGCAAGACTGCCGGTGAAGGTGTTTACTGCCTCGGGGGCGGTTGCACTATTGAGTTTGTCTGGTTTGAGGATGTGTGCGAGGACGCCATCTCTGTTGTAAGTATCACTCAAACATGTAGTCAAGGTGTTTGACGTTATCGCAATTGGCTGACAATATTACAGAAGGAGGACCAGGCCGGAGACGAGACTTGGATCATTGGTGGCGGCGCGTACCACGCCTCCGACAAGATCATCCAGCACAATGGGTGCGGCAAGGTCAACGTTAGTCATGCTTCTTTTCCATACATCCGCGGCACATTCTAACATGGACATGCTTGCAGATCATCAACTTTTACGCCGAGGACTATGGTAAAGTTTACCGATCCTGCGGAACGGTAAGAACAGTTTCTAAATGCCTTGCCTAGAGAAAACGATTAGTGATTACCTTCTAGTGCCAGCAATGTGCTCGTGAGGTCTATGTCGAGGGCGTGACTGCTTACAACGGTGGAGAAGTTGTAGGGATCACCAAAGCTAATGGTGACAAGGCGACACTGGTCAATGTCTGCACTGATGCGAAGACGCCTTGCCAGAATTACAGCGGCCCTGGGGAAAAGGATGGTGCCTGTTAAGTATCCAAACGTGGTTGGTACGAGAATAGTCTATGGAGACTGATGCATTTGGTAGCGTTGAATTGTGGGGGGACTAGGACATTCGTTCTGATATGCAATTGTATTATAACGGCGATGTGTGATAGCGGCCATAAGGCAGTCGAGCTAGAAAACATGCTTCAAGGCGTTATCACATTTCCATGAGCATAGAACTTGAATGAGCGCCATGATCTTTGTGGGAGACCACGAAAGCTAACTATTAAAAATGGCCAATCTATCCGCACTACTGACTATTATGATCTTGCATCCCAACCCAACCCATGTCTCCTTCGAGTATTTCATAACAAACTCTACTTTCTATCTCGGTACCAAGACTATACTGAGGGCCGTTCCAATCAGTTGTTCCAAAGTGTTGATTCCATGCCGAGTCAACCATCATGCCGGGGAACAATTGCTCTTCCATTTTCATCTCATAATCAACCACTCCTATCGGCAGAGTTCCCCAGAGAGCTTGAAGATCTTGGTTTGCAGCTGGAAGCTGGTGATTCAACTCCGACTGACTGTCGAAGTCTGTGATTTGAAAGCCCTGCATGGTGTGGACGCCATAGACAGCTTCGATGGGGCCGAAGTTCCATAAAGTCTGAACCTCGTTCTCCGCGTGTCCGAATCGCTGATTCCATGCTGTGTCATCATGTATGCGAGAAGCGATATGATCCTCCGCAATCATGTTGTCATAGTCAATGCCAGCAAGCACTGCGTTTGATAAATCCTCAAGTTGTCCAAGGCTTCCATCCTCAAGTTGTCCAAGGCTTCTGTCCCCAGGCGCGGCCTCCGTTGGGCTAATTCTCCCTTCTGCAGAAGACACCCTCCGAATACTATTGTGCCCATAATCAGAATAATCATCGAGACGCGTCCCTTCCTCTGGGCTATCTCCATCCCTACCGCTGGATGATGGGATTTCGATTCTCTCTGAGCTGGCTGAGCTGTATATGAGCTCTTCCAAAGATTCCAGCTCTT